GGCAGTGCTGGAGAGCTGGAAGACAATGTTTGTGTGATACTCTGCATCATTGTTGATCTGGAAGTCCATGAATGTCAAGGTGCTGAGTCAAGCAGAGGGTGGTGTTATCCTGTTATTTGCAGAAAGGCAGCTGGGTGGACTGGGCTGATAGAGCCCAGGTGAAGGTTGGTGGAGCTAGTAGGAGGATATGAATGAGAGATGAATGAGGAGCTCTGGGGACACAGTGGGGGACACAGTGAAGACTGGACGCAGGGCTTTTTCATGCCCTCCATCTCCTACACAGTAGCGTGACTTTTCTAACTCTCATGGAGAAGCCAGAGATAGGGAACAAGTGCTAAATCCTGTCGAGAAGGTGGATGAGACCATGGAGGTCTGCAGAAGAGCTTCAGAGGAACGGGGGGGGGGCTGGGGGGGGCAGACTGGGGAAGTAGAACACCCAAGGGGGCAGAATAAAGCAGAAGAGACCAGCGTAGTGAAGACTACTAGGATAGAAAGGAACCCGAGAGATTGTTTTCTAGATAAGGAAACCAAAATCAGGCACCTGGAAAACAATTAAGAACATATTGTATCTTACAGACGGTACAACTGAGTTTCAGAGAAGAGCGATTAGGTTTGCTGAGACGAACATGAATGGGTGATGGGCCTAAAACCTGCTTTCTAGATGGGGAGATCAGAAAAATCAAGGCAGGATGGATTTGATAACGGGCGCTTTCTGTGCCTAAGCGGGGGAAAGTACAGCAGTTCTCAAAGCCTGGAGCAGAGAATTGTGTTGGAAATTTTATCAACAATACCATAAAGGACAGTTCTCTCATTTTGGAGCAGAAGAAAAAGAAATGCACTGAGTTTGCAGGCGAAGGAAACCGGAATGTCTGTGATTTGCTTTTTTGGTGCTGTGAATACAGGCAGGAGCAGGCAGATGAGGGAAGATGCCAGTAGGCATCTTTGCTTTTCAGGCTATAACAATTATATTTTAAAAGTAAGACGCAGGGCTGTAAATGTGGGCTGCAATCTTCCAAGTGGCAATCCTGATGAGGAGAACTAAAGTCCCCGCATTGCTCATCTCCTCTCCTGTTTCTTTCTTGCAGAACACAGCATCGATTATCCTCCTTAGAAAAGCAATTTCAGCATCGAGGGTGGAAGAGGAGAGTATTAATCATAGTGAAATTTGACAAGGCAGAAGCCTCCCCGTGTCCACTTGAACCATTTAAAGCTTTTATGTCCCCTCCAGACTAGCCCAAGTGCATGTGCATGGGAGCCATAAAAGAGGGGAGACGCTTCTTTGGAAAGCAGTAATAGCTCAGGACTGTCCTCTCTCTGGGTGTGTCTCTTCATAGCCCTTCCCTGGTTGTCTAAATCAGGCCATCTCAGCTGTCATCGTTGTTTTATTCCTCTTTTCAGGAGATACCACTAAAATGCCAGTTAGCTAGGAATTTATGCCCAGAGCCTTTAATTGGCTCTAAATTAAAAAGAAAGACCCCAATGTGGTTTTAATTCTGACAGTTATTAGAATCCATAGGGATTCTAGAAAAAATAATGTTGAAGCGAGGTGAACTTGGTAGGCTAAAATGGACTCCAGGGACTTTTTGGAAAGAGAGAGGGAACATGTTCTGCTGAGACTTTATTTAAGGTTCAGTGCAGGGGATGAAGACAAGATGGTGAGTTAAATCAAAAGCTGCCCCGAGCATGTGACGTGCGGCCGAGTGCTCCCCTCGAGCTCTCCTCCTTCCCCCCACTTACCATCTAGCAGTTAAAACCAAGACAAGTCAATTCATCTTAGAAGTGGGTCCTGGAAGGAATGTTAAAAGATCATCATCAATGTAATCTCCCTGCCCTCAGAGAGGAGTAAACTGAAAGCGTTCTCTGTATAGTAAAAAGTTCTCTTGTTCGTAAATTGTATTTCTCTGAAGGACAAATGAGTTGAGAGGGAGCTAAGGAGAATCAACTCATCACAATCAGGAAATTGTGTGCAAGCTTTTACATTTCAATTTCATTCTCTTCTCTTTTCACCCCTTTGTAAAGACACACAAGAGCTGGTTGCTATCTTCTTGATAAGAAGATTCCATACTTCTGATCTCTTCTTTCTAGAATACATTTGTTTCTAAAACATTTCTGCCTTGTTTTCCTGCCCTTAAATAGTGTCAATTCCTTGAAGCTAGTCCTGCCGCAAGTGAATTGCTATCCTTTGACCACCAAACCCAAACTGGACTCTGTATTCTAGAAGTTTGGCCCATTCTATATACAAGACCAATCATCTAACAATTCCTATAATCCAGGACTTATACCTCCAGGGCCACCCTGGCTTTTCAAACCATAGCATGATGACAGATGGTGGTCATCTTTGCCTTATTATTTTCCTACTGAATTTGTATTCCATCGCTTTTAAGAACCATCCTTCACTAAATGTTCTTTAAATGTGGTTAAATGGTTTTAACTAATTGTTCAATAAATATGTAGGCCCATTTTTTTAAAACTGGGAAACACATGATTAAAATGGGGAGGGTTATACAATAAAAAGTTCTCTTCCAACATGCATCTCAGACATTCACTCTCCCCCACGGGGTCCAAACCTGTTAGGTCCAGCAGGATGTTCCCTGATCCCTGGTTCCCAGTGTCAAGAATGAGGACTGGTACCAAGTCAAGCAGACAACAGAGTGATCACAAACACAGAGCAATTTTATACAGCTGATCACATAAAAGAAAGACTGGAAGTAACGTAGAAAGCTACACAAAGTAAAAATACATTCCAGAGAGAGAGAACCAGGTCAGTCTCCATGAGTGGAGAAAGACCCTGCAGTGTCTGAGCCCACCCTACCTTTTATCAGCTCACTAGTTTGCCCCACCTTTTTCCTCACAAGATTGGTTGTCATTTCCAACTTTTGGGGTGACTGACAGGCTGATATTATATAGCAGATATGTAACAGGTTACATAACAGGGTGGTTAATGTAACAGTTTCTCCTTCTATGCATGCCTCTTACCCAGAATTCTTCAGGAAGCTCGGTTCGTGCTATGCAAATAAGATGGTAATGAGCTCTAAGTTATTTAAAGGTCACTAGGAACTCCTTACTATGTATGTTCCCACCAGGGAACAGTTCCTGGCTGCAATTTGGTTCCTAGTTACAATCTATTTGGTTCTCCCTCCCACCCTTAACCACTTCCTTGCCACCTGTTTACCCTCCTCCAGACATGATAACCCCATTTCCTGATTCTTGTCTATTTAATAGAGAGAGAGAGAGAGAATGTGTGTGTGTGTGTGTATAAAGAAACATGTAAGGGCAGCACATGTGGCTCAAAGGAGTAGGGTGCTGGCCCCATATGCCAGAGGTGGCAGGTTCAAGCCCAGCCCCAGCCAAAAACTGCTAAAAAAAAAAAAAGAAAGAAAGAAAGAAAGAAAGAAACACATGCATGTACTCTCAGTACAATTGGCAATGTATTTTAACACTGTTCTGCATTTCTTTTAAAAAATTTTGAAGGCTATGTTAACCAGTTTGATGGAAGTGTCTTGGATTGTGTATGAAAACACCACACTGTACCCCCAAAGTGCATCAATGTACACAGTTACCATTCAATAAAAAAAAAAAAAAAATTTTAATAATGTACCTTAGGAACCTTTCCACTTTGGTACACACAGACCTTCCTTATTCTATTTTGTGGCTACCTAGCAGTCTACTGAATGGATATACCATAATGTATTTATTCTAAGCCATTCTGAATACCAACTCCCTTTCCCAAAATGTCCTCTACTGGCTGAAGATTGTGGAAGACCCACTGTCATATGTCAACTTCTTCATACAACTATCTGCATGGTGCTTACTCTGAGCATAGCACCATGCATAGTGCACAGGGAAGACAAGAAGCAGTGAGCTTGGCAGCCTCTGCTCTCTGGGAAACTAGAGCCTCATCAGGGAAAAAAGACATGGTTGTCAAATCTATGCCCACACAGTTTCCCTTTGCTTCCTCACACATCAGACTCTCTTTCTAAGATGTGGTACAGATGGCCTTTCCACTAATTGGATATGTGCATGATTATTTGTGTGCCTGCTTTGGCTTATCCTGGAGCCACCAGATGAAAGATCTCAGTCAAAAGCCTATAGGGGCCAGGAAGGTGACCTAAATGAGCAAAGTGAGATGAGCCAATTAGGAAGGCACAAGCTCTATGTTTAGAGGAGGCTGCCAATTGCTATTCTGCTCCAGATTATTTTCCTGTGGCTTGTTGGATCTTCTAATTAATTTAAAGGAACCACTGCATAAAAGGTACATGAGACCCTTGTGTATTATTTTTTATCTGCATATGAATCTATAATTATCTCAAAATTAAAAGTTTAATTTTTATTTTTTTGAGACAGAGTCTCACTATGTCACCCTCAATAGAGTGCCGTAACATCACAGCTCATGGCAACCTTGAACTATTGGGCTTAATTGTATATCAAAGCAGTACCCTGAACCCCATAATTACATCAATTTATAAAGTTATGATTTAATAAAAAGTTATTAATTATAAAAAACAAACAAACAAAAAATCAATTGGGCTTAAGCAATTCTCTTGCCTCAGCCTCCTGAGTAGCTGGGACTACAGGTGCCTGCCACAATGTCCAGCTATTTTTTTGTTGCAGTTGTCATTGTTTAGCAGGCCCAGGCCAGGCTCAAACCCACCAGCCTTGGTGTACATGGCCAGCACCTTACTCACTGAGCTATGGCCGCAGAGCCAAAAGTTTAATTTTTTGAAAACGCCCCAAAGCTGGATTATTGTGTCAAATTACCTGATTTATAAAGGTAGGCAAAATTTGAACATTATTCAGGTCCAGTAGAACTGATTTGTAAGCCAAATCCATTGTTTCACTATCTGTGCATAGCTGGATCATTATAATTTGATTTGTATAAAACCCCAGGCGACCCAAACCATGCATTTGGTTTAAAAAGGCTTCTTGCTACTGTGAGTTTCCATTGCTTTTGACAGTGGCCATCCTCACTTACTCATTGATTTTGTCTCCTCTCATTCTAGGTCCTCGGATGTGGCTCTGTTGCCCAAGCCATCCTTAGTCGAGGTGTTTTTGGAGGAATTGTCACTATCAATATTGGATTTGCAATGGCAGTTGTAATGGCCATTTATGTGACTGCAGGTATCTCTGGTAAGCAGTAGAAACATTATCTGCTATTAATTTCTCCAATGTGCTAGCACAGTGCTGGGTTCTTCACATACCTTAACTTATTTTGATCTCAACAATTCTGCAGGAATATGTATTGGATCCCACTATTACAGATGATACAATTAAAATGGCCAAGAGATGGTAAGTGACTTGCACAAAAGCAATATTTAGCAAGAGATAAAAGATGGGGTTGAGAACTCACAACTTTTCTTCCTAGGTAAGGCCATAGCATATTTTTCATGAGCTCATGGGATCCTTTATTTGCTCATTCCCACACTTGGAAGCCATTTCCTAGATACCCTGTGAATAGCCAGTGGAAGTCACCAACGGAGGCAAGTCCCTGGACCTTTATCCACAGTAATCAAGGAGAGTCTGGACCTCTTGCAGAATAGATGGTTCTTTCAAGGGAGTACAGATCTGATCTGGAAAGTCTCAGTCTTATTCTGCCCCAAGAAGTGGGCCGATTAGAAGCTATTTGCAAGGTTCTCAAAAGCAAAATGAAATGATGATATGTAATGCAGTGTGGGGAATTAGGAAGGGGCTGTAGAAATGATCCAGTTACCACAGGTGCTCAGAATCTTCCCACAGCGTGGTGTGGGCAGTCTGTTGGTGATGAGGGAAGAAAGAGACTGAGCAACCACTGCGTGCTGCTCCCTGTGCTGGGTGCCAGACATCCTTCATCTCCCTGTCATTTATGACAGCTTTCTGAGGCAGGTATTATTGTCTCCACTCTGCAAAGAAATTCCTTCTGGAAGGGATTCAGTAAATGTCTGGAAGTCCTGCAGCTGGTAAAGAGCACAGATTTGACCCAGGGCTGCCTGACAGTGAAGCTCGTGTCCCTGTTATACACCTTTTCCAATGCTCTACCTAGGATAGCTGTTAGAGGCAGGGCCTTTGGGTAGAGGACACTGCAGTTAAGCCGGCTGTCCTGAGAGCAGATGCTTGCCACTGCAGCACTAAGGAATGATAGCTTGGGCTCCCCAGGAACTCCCTGGACTGGGTACTTGGAATGGCCATTTGCTAGCTGGCACCTTTCCAATTCTAGCCAGGTTTGGATCTTGGGGTAGTCTGGTCTATAGATTGCTCATGTGTGGTTTGTTGCCATGAGCAGTGTCTCCATTCAAATTCCTGCTTCTCTTTTGCTGTGATCCCAACACTCTGTTGCCTATCTCAAGGCAAACTCTGAGTAGGGAACAAGAATAACCAGGGGACTTCCCTGGAGTGCAGGCCTTGAAAGCAGACTCTTGGCCTAAAACAAGCATGCAGGATGCTCCCACAAACTCTCCCTACATCTACATACGTGTGGCTTCTACAAACTAGAGGATGTAGATGTGGGCATATTTTTAGCTATTTTTAGGTAGGGAACAGGCCTTGCAGTGTCCTGCCTGTGTAACATCCTGAACTGAACACCATCGAGTAATTACTTGGGATTATCTGGCCCTAAATCCCACCAATGTCATCAGCACCCTTTACCACCACTGCAATTTGTATGTGTTGATGTCCTTTAACACATACAATTTGGGGATTTCAGTGGTCACTTTAGGGGGAAAAGGGGCAAGGACCAGCAGGAAGGAGAAGAGGGAGTGAGGGGATATGGGGGGCTTTCTCCTGTGGGCCCCTGAACTGGGGTTTAGCCCCTGTGGTTAGGGAGCTGAAGGCCAGAACAGATGGGAGTGTTTTCACTGGGCACTGTGTTTCTGGGTGAGGGTTAGAACCTGACCAAATTGTTCATGAGCAATCTCAGGATCCCAAAATACAAACAGAGTGGTATCTGAGACTGGCTGATAAAAGGCAGCATTGTGTTGGCATGAGAGCCCTTTCTCTCTTGGAAACCTAGCACAGTTCGGGCTTTTTGAGGATGATAGCTTTGAGAACATTTTTGGAAACGTCAGAGACAACACACATGTCCACTGTGACGTCTGTGCAGACAATAGCATTATTACTGGCTTCCGCAGCTTCAGGAATAGGAAAAGATTGTGTGGCGGAGGTGACTTTCTCTTGGTGGCTGCAGCTAACATACTGGTTTGTGGGCACATGTGAGACCCTGTTTGAGGATTCCAAAATAACCAATATGTAGATAAATATGAATGTGGCCCCCTTTTGTGGTCACAGACTGGTGAGGTCAGTGGACATTTGGCTGTAACACCACCTGACTGTAAAGAAGTCACAGCATCCTGCTCTCTTGGGGATGTAACCCAGTCAGTCAGAGCTCACACCCCCTCTAATTATGCAATGACCCTCACGAAGCATTTGGGCTGCCAAATGGTAGTTACTTTTGGTAAAGCATTTTATAAGTAAAATAAATATACTGAAAAAACAAAATAGCCTTGCTTAATGACAAATGAAATATAAGGTCATATTTATCACCAGATAATCTTGATCACTTCTGTGATATAGATAACCATATATATATATAAATTTTATATATATAATTTTTTTTTTTTTTGAGACACAGTCTCACTAGGTCACCCTTGGTAGAGTGCCGTAGCATCACAGCTCACAGCAATCTTAAACTCTTGGGCTTAAGCAATTCTCTTGCTTCTGCCTCCCAAGTAGCTGGGACTACAGGGCCCTGCCACAACACCCGGCTATGTCTGTTGCAGTTGTCACTATTGCTTAACTGGCCTGGGCTGGGTTCGAACCCACCACCCTCAGTGTATGTGGCTGGCACTATAACCACTGTGCTATGGGCGCCAAGCCTAGATAACCTATATTCATCATTAAGTTTTTTATAGGTTGTGAGAAGGAGGGGATTTGCATAGAACAGAATCTTGAAAGAGTTCACTCTGCTCACCTTACACTTTCATCCTGTGCTCCGTGAGCTACAGCTGAACCCCCGGGCTATTTGTATGAATAATCTGATTTTCCCAACAACCTTGGCAGAGTCAAGATTTTGAGTGCAGGACTCTCTGACTCTAATACCCATGTTCTTTCCACCACACTGCTCTGCCTTGTCCTTCTGGTAAGGCAGGGGTGGCCATTCATCTCCATGGGCAGAAATTTCTAGTAGCTGCTTGAATTTCTAGTAGTCTCCATCCAAACTGGTTAGGGTGCCACTTGTCCACTTCCCTTTCCCAAACTTTGTGCCACCTCTAGGAGCCTTTTCTGTGTCCCTTTGTAGACACATCTTCTCTGATCCCGCTAACAATTTTCCTTCTCTGTAGATCTCTGTGGTCTGAGCTAGCTTACTATGGTAGATATGGCCTAGAATACCTACTAAATGCCTTGCATTATGTGAGGTCCAAGGTCAATAATAGTTCCACCTTCAAGGTGCTCATGAGGAGCTAATCTACAAGCATAAACCCACCTCTGGGAAATTGTAATTTGGAAGAGGAGCTTGTTAAACAAAGAAACCTCCCATTGGTGGATTCATCTCCAGGGAGGTGTTTTTGATTGGAGATGACTCCTTACGGCCTTCATTCGTGTCCTTTGGTAATGGGTGCCTCTAGGCCGGCTGGAGGCAGCCTTGGGGGAGGAGGAGCAGGGCTGCCTTCAGGAACACTCACTGTTTTCTGGGTGCATCCCTTCTTTCCCCTAGTAAGTTGTCCTGCTGCTGAGCTCCAGGAGTGTAGCTGTCTTAGATTTAAAAGTCAAACAGAGCAGCAGAAGTAACTCATCTGTGTTTTAATCCATTGGCATTTTCTTGTTCACAATGTGTGCCAGGGACACTTGTATGTTAGCAGGCAACTGGAACACCCACTGGCCTTGCCCCTGCTGGAAGACCACTATGGCTCAGAGACTCAGGAAAAGCAGAGCTCTCTCTGCAGGTGGAGACAGGGGCTTCTGGAAACAAGCTCATCTGTTGGTTCTGCAGAGAGTTAAATGGTGCAGATCATCCTCATCCTCCCCACTGTCATCTGCTCACTTATGTTTACAGCTGTGGCCACACCTGAAACTCCATATTCCAATATGGTGACTCCGATTCTCCCACCGCACAAAACTTTATCTGTATTCCTTAAATGAACATCCCTTTTCTCTAGAAAGAGAGCTGATATGCTCAAATGATTTTTTAAATTCTTTAGTTTTTTCCTGCCCACTGCAGCATGGATACCTTTAAAATGTGAAGAAGGCCGGGAAGTGGTATAACATACAACATGGCTCCAGAGTTCAAAGGAACCTGGATTTGAATCATGGTTCTACCACTCACTGTCTGTGTGGCCTTGAGAAAGTTACTTCTGTGCCTTCGATTTCCTACCTGCTAACTGGGGGAGTACCCTTATCATTGGGTTCTTAAGAGGATCAAATGCATAGCAGACCCCGATGACAGTGTTTGGCAAAGGGTCCAATGATGCATTTGCTGTTGTAACTAGCAAAGCCAGCTGGGCATGTTAGCAACTGCCATGGTGCAGGCCCTCCACCTGACCTCATAACTAGATGTGAATCCAGCAGGCTGATTTCTCTGGCTGTGGTGCAGACTGCATAAGGGATGTGCTTCTCCCTTTCTGTGTGAGCAAAACTCATTGTTTACGCAGAAGGACTGGGGAGACTCCACTCAAACACTGTGACCACCCCTCACCTCCGGGAAAGCCCCAGCCCAGAAACCAAGGATCCTTTCCTCTTAACAAAACATCTTTTTTTATTCCTGAGATTGTTTTTATATCCTCTGGGCATGGACTGAGAAATTGCTAGACACATATTTAAATCTTATATGTTGTATAAGCATGGTGACTTTTTAAGAAAACACTGAAGTTAATGGTGACATCAGTCTGGGGTTATTGCTTTATAGAGATAAAACCCCATTAAAAATGGGCCACAGAAGTGCGTCAGATTTCTTTCTATATCTGACTCTGTTTTCATAAAGACGAACATTTGAAACAGTCTCTAAGGACGTCCTGAGGAGTATTTGCCCTCCCTTCCTCACCCTTCAACGTGAGCGGTCTCTCTCTCTCTCACACACACACAAACACAGACACACACGCTCACACACCACCCCTCTTTCTCCTCACACCATTCTCTACCTAGAAGACTGAGTTCTCCCCGAGGTCACCAGAGAAGACTGCTCCTTCCCAGCCTGCCCCCTGACATCTCTCATCACCTCTCTCTTGCAGGAGGCCACATCAATCCCGCCGTGTCTTTTGCGATGTGTCTCTTTGGAAGGATGAAATGGTTCAAATTCCCATTTTATGTGGGAAGTCAGTTCTTGGGAGCCTTTGTGGGGGCTGCGACCCTCTTTGGCATTTACTATGGTGAGTAGAGCCACGGAGTGTAGTGGTTCGGAAGAGCTGGGCATGATTGGAAAGTCAGAATTACTTCTCAGGAAGAGGTAAGGCAAAGCGAGAATGAGAAGTGTTCTGCAATTGACAGCACATTTTGAACTTAAGAAATGAGACCAACATTATCAGTGGAGCAAACTCATGGAGCCTCTTAATGAAAATGTTCATATCTTAAACGGGGGGGCAGAACCTAAAGGGAGCCAATCTTTAAGCCCAACTAGCATGGCAATGTGAACATGTGCAGAATAAGCAGTGGAGCTGTGGCTTCCCCCCAGCTTTCTCTCCCTGGGCTGGGAAAGGAGGTGTTGACTGGGGGGGAAGGGTATGGCCAGTAAGTATTTAGAGAAGGAATCTGGGGAGCTGTTTTTGAAGGCGGGGTCACGGCAGAGACACGGGCTGGGTGGGGTGTCACTGCCTTCCTATCAAATAGTCAGAGCATCTGTTCTGCAATAGTCCTCTCTCAAACTGAAGACCTGAAGGACTAGAATTTATGAACCAACCAAGAGAAATAAGTTGTGAACAAACGACTCCCCCTACAGAGGGTCTCTCTGAGAATTAGAATCTAAAATGACTAAAGTAGAATTGAAGACCTTGAGGCAAGAACAGCCTGGGGCTGGTGCTGTGTGGATAGCTCCCATCCTCTTGGCCATAGGATGTCTTCACTATACTGTGAAATCCTTAAATTCTGGAGTGGGATTAGGGGTTCCTGGGAACCCTCTGGGAATTACGCATTCTGCCTCCAGCAAATCCAAACCCCACTTCAGCTTTACATTGATCTTGAAAAGTCTAAGAATTCCCCCAAAAAGAAGATTGGCTCCTTAAGGCTCCACTGGCTAAAGATTTGGTCCAAGTCTGGTTGGCCATCCAGGACAGCTAAGAGCTTTCTAGAAAACTTTTGACCTGCCATCCTGGGATTTCCCCGGGCAGTTCTAATACTACCAAACTATGAAGTGGAGAGAGACAAGCAGCAAGGATCTTGCAAGCTCAGCCGGAGTGTTTGACTGCAGTTGTTTAGCATAAGCTTCCCTCAACCTTTCCCAGAGATTGCTAACGCACCAGGGCTCTATTTTCCATAGATGGAATTATGTCCTTTGCTGGAGGAAAATTGCTCATCACAGGAGAAAATGCAACAGCGCACATTTTCGCAACATACCCAGCTCCATATCTATCTCTGGTGAATGCATTTGCAGACCAAGTAAGTGCAGATTTAAAAATACGTAACTTTGGTGAAAAGACATGTTACAATAAGGGGACTGCATAAGAACGTTAGAGGCTTATCAGAAAGGAGAGGTTGTATTTCCAGAGGCAGAGCTTGTTGGGCATAACCCAAGCTTTCTTTTTCTTTTCTTTTCTTTTTTTTTTTTTGCAGTTTTTGGCTGGGGCTGGGTTTGAACCCACCACCTCTGGCATATGGGGCCAGCACTCTACTCCTTTGAGCCACAGGCACCACCCCAACCCAAGTTTTCTTGACAATTTTTTGCTTTTGCAGAAGTTAATACCACTAGGAGAGTTTTGTGCTCTCTCTTTAATACATACACTTGTTTCACATCAATGAAGGCCCAGAAAAAGAGTAGATGACTGGACATTTCAACCTGTGTAGAGGAAAGTGGGATCCACTTCACTGCAGTTATCTCTTTTGAGCCCAGGTTATAAGTATAGAGGCCACAAAAGAACACATTCCTATCTCATGTCAAGAACTGGGAAAGGGTAATATTTGAGCTTGGGCTACTATGGATCCTCTCTGTCTCACCATGTGCAAAGGTTTATCCAAATCCTCAAGGTAACTAAGAGGATCTCTGCCTTATTGACATCTGAACAAGTTTCTGACATGCAAGCCATCTGTGGTATAGCCAAGAGCACACCTGTTCTGACCAGTTTCAGGATCAGCATTATCAACACAAAAGACTATTTCTCCCTTACTAGGTCCCAAGTAGCCTTCTGGTCATCTTGGTCAGGGTAGTGGAAGGAGGAAAGGAAGGAGAGTAAAGAGGGAAGTAAAGACATCTTTTCCAGTATCTCTAAGTGCTTCTGTTACGATCGGGACTTACACAGTGCCACAGATCAGAGTGAGCATGTGTGTAAAATGGATCCTCCAAACCATGCCTACCTCCATTCCATGGATGGATGAAAACTGTGCCGTCCATATTATCTGCCTTTTTGCTTTCTACTTTGACCAATAGCTCAAACAGGGAGCAAGTATTTATTGAGAACTCAGTATGTGCTTGGCTCCTATGTCTGGAAGGTGAGGAACTGACAAGTCAGTCTGAGCTCGCAGGGATCCAAGATTCAGAGTTTGAGTATCCAAATTAAAATAACTACACTGCCCTTAATTCTCTGTATGGCTTCAACATATTACTGAAATTTTGGGGTCTCAAATTTTTCACTTGTAAAATGGGGATAATATTAGCTCACTTACAATGATAAAAAGAACTATATGAGGAAAATATATCATAACCAGTATCTGTCTAGAAATTTAGAATCTGCCTGAGGAGCACAATTATCACATAGGAACAATGTAAAATAGACGTAATTAGAGAAAAAATTGACTATAGAAGTCCATTAGTCATTTGAATCAGAGGTCTTAGAAGAGTTAGGACAATAGGAAAAGTTTCAGTGGGAAAGATACAGAGAGATGTGGCTGCCAGAAAAAGAAATGTCATCACAAGCTGCAATAATAAAGTACAGTATTCAAAGGAAATAGCTGAGGATCTTACCTCTCTACCAGGAGGGTTAGACTAATTTCTAGGAGTGTTACACTTACCGGGGGTTACGCTGTCGGAAGAGAATAACCCCCAAATGATGTCACTCAAAAAAATGAGTGTCAAATAGGGATATTTGGGGAGGAGGAATGGATGTGATGAGATATGATAGTAGCTTTTTAAGATTTGAAGGTCAAGTGGAAAAGAGAACAGGATTGACGTGTGTACCTCTGACCCCCATGGAAATTTGGTGGGTCAATAATAGGTATTCAAAATATATTAAATGAATGAAATTATGGGGTAATAAAATTTCATTCAATTAAAGGAAGACTTTTCTAGAAATCAAGGCTTAAACCACCTACAAGATCCTTTTCAGTTTGAGACTGGATCAGCCGGACGGAAATGGGAGTTTTCCAACTAGGGAAAATTGGAGTTATCTGAAGGAAGATGTTGCATAATCCTGGAACAGCAACACAGAAAAAGCTGTGAGGAGGAAAGTGTGGAGGGAGGGGGAGAAGTCACTGAAGGCAAGCTGCCAGGGGTCCCTGCTTCTCTGGGCATATTAAGACCAATAGGTACAGGCTGGGCTTGGTGGCTCATGGCTGTAATCTTAGCACTTTGGGAGGAAGAGCTGGGTGGACTGCCTGAGCTCACGAGTTTGAGACTAGCCTGAGGAAGAGCGAGACCCCCATCTCTAAAAAAAAAGTAGCTGGGCACTGTGGCAGGAGCTTGTAGTCCAGCTATTCAGGAGGCTTAGGCAAGAGAATCACTTGAGCCTGAGAGTTTGAGGTTGCTGTGAACGATGACGCTACAGCACTCTACCCAGGGCAACAAAGTGGGACTTTGTCTCAAAAATAAATAAGTAAATAAATAAAAGACCAGTAGATGCACCTGGTGTTTTTTTTCTAGCTTCAATGTGCCGGGAGTCTATTCTCTCAGGCAGGTCAGGAAGGACCCAGGGTGGGACCTGCTAAGCAGAAAGTGTCCATGCAGACCTCAAGCGACCAGCTGGGGATTGGCTGAGGCACCAATGGATGCCTTGGAATGGACTGGAGGAGTAAGTCAGAGTCTCTTAGAAACTATTCCATTCAGTTCAGGCCGAATGTATCTTATAATGAAAAAATTAGGAATGGAGTGGAGTGGAGAGCTGGTAAAGGACCTGTGGACATGTCTCCTGTGAATTCAGGTCATTTCCATTGGAGGCAAGAAAGAAAAAATGCCAACCTTCTCAAACCTGGACTTGAACTGAAAGGAACTCTGTCCTTGTTCCTTGTGGTTTGGTCCCACAGCCACCTCCCTGCACTCTCCGGCTGTTCTGAGAAACTGAGGAGCACAGTGAAGCCTCTTGCCCCTAGATTTCACCCCAGAGACAGCCCCTCTCCAGAGTCCCAGGGCAACACTCCCCCGCTTCCCGCAGACACGCTGCCCTACCCCTTCTGAGAGTTGGCAGGATGCAGAGGCCCTGACACAAGGCCACCCCAGGGCAGGAGAATGGTGGCAGAGCCTTCCCCTAAATCCCGCAGTGTGCTGGGAGACCCAGCCCCAGACCTGCCTCTTGCCCTGAGTTTGCTCTTGTGCTAGTTACGCAGAACTTTCTTCAGATTCAAATTAGGGCTTGTGATAAATGGCATCAAAAATGCCTGACTGATATACCAGGGCAATAAAATCCCTGGCATGTATTGGGTGGTGAACAGATGATAATTCTTCTGCCTTGCCCAACCCTCTTTCCCCTCCTTCTACTCTTGTTCTCCTACTGGGATCTTATAGAATTTCGCATATTCTCCCAATTTCCATCATCAAGATGGAAAGTGTCTTGTCACAAGGAAATTGCTTGATATCCAGTCCTCACTCAAGGTTCCCCATGTCTCGCCTAATGTAGATTCACATACTCCCTGCTAAGCTTTCTTTATTGTGTCCTTATCTCTGAATGAGCTGCCAGCTTCTCTGAAGACCATGGTTGGTAAGCCAGTTATTCTATACAGCCAGGTAGACGAAACCAATACCAGAAAACGCTGGTGCTCCAACCATTAGCAATCCCTGAAGGCCTTCTATTCCTTAGGCTTTGGGGCAGTACAGCAAATTGCCCATTATCATTCAGTCAATGTCCAACAAAGCTGTTGGCTATCGTATTTTGAGGTCATCTTACATAAAGATTACTAAATTGTTTTATTGTTGAAACACATTTCTTAGTTAATAGCCAATCATTCATTCACTCAGTAAATATTTATTGAGCACCTACAGAGCCAAGTACAAGTTCTATGCTGTTTCTTTTTTAAGAAGTTCAGGGTCTGAAGTGCAATCTGACAAGTAATTAGGTCATTCTTTTCCAGGGTGACAAGGGCAGTGATGGGCATAAAGTCAGAATGCCATGGAACCCCAGAGGTGGGAACGTCTACTCTGCCCAAGAGGCTTGGGCAAAACTTTTCAGAGAAGGGCACTCTTAGGAGAACATGCATCTTTGAATACGAATTCTTTTAATGTTATTATTTTGCAAAGTAGATGAAATCTTGACAAGTTTAAGCTTTAAAATTAGTTGCCTAATTCCCAGCCTGATTCTTACAAGCTCTATGTCCTTGGGCAAATGTCTCGACCACTTTCTACCCAAGTTTCCTCATCTATAAATGGAAAAAAATAACAGGATTCACATAAAAAGGAGATCATGAGGTTGTAATAAGGTAAAGGATATGAAGTACTTGGCACACAATAAGTGTTCTAAATAAAAGCTACCATTTAGCTGTTAAAGTAAAACCATAGTTCAGAAAGTTTAGAAAACAGAAAGCAGGGGAAATACCAGGTAAAACCCACCAACTCCAAATACCGGTTATGATTTTTAATATGTTCTCTTATAATTTTTCTTATATGTACAGTTTTAAATACAGTCACACTTCCCTATCCATAGGTTCCACAAAATATATTGATAGATTCAACAAAGTATGGATCCAAAATACTTTTTAAAAAATTGCATCTCAGCTGGGCACCTGTAGCTCAAGCAGCTAGGATGCCAGCCACATACACCAAAGCTGGCAGGTTCAAATCCAGCCTGGGCCTGCCAAACAACAACGACAACCACAACCAAAAAACAGCCGGGTGTTGTGGCAGGTGCCTGTAGTCCCAGCTACTTGGGAGGCTGAAGCAAGAGAATCCCTTAAGTCCAAGAGTTTGAGGTTGCTATGAGCTGTGACGCCACAGCACTCTAGGGCGACAGCTGGAGACTCCATCTCAAAAAAAAAAAAATTTGCATCTGTACTGAACACACTTTTTTCTCATAAATATTCTCAAAACAATATGGTATAACAACTATTTACCTAGCATTTGCATTGCATTAGGTATTATAAACAATCTACAGTAATCTAAAGCATGGGGGAGATATGTGTAGGTTACATGCAAATACTGTGCTTATATCAGAGACTTGAGCATCTATGGAGTTAGGTAACTGCAATAGGGCATGGAACCAATCTTCCATGGATGCTGAGGCACAACTGTATAAAACGTAATGCCTGTCCAATTTTATTTTTTTTCCACTTAATATCATGAGCATTTTTAATGTTACTACATAGCCGTTGCATTTCTAGTTTTTAATGGCTACATAATAAACTCCCAAATGGACGTTTCACAATCCAGTTAGCTCTTTCCGTGTTGATGTGTGCTTAGGTAGATTCCAGTTTCTCAGTACCATAAAGAATGCTAGAGTAAACATACTTGTTTTATGATTTTTTTCCACGTTGTAGATTATTTCCGTGGTACGATTCTCAAATATCTAACAGCATCAAATTGTATGAATACATTTGTGCTTTGAATTACCTGTTGCTAAATCATTGCTGAATTTCCTTTCAAAAGTGTGGTATAAGAAAAACCTGAAAGAACTGGTATTCTTCTCCTAATATTGGGTACTGTTTGCCTTTATTTCTTACAAATTGGTTTTTCCCACTTGTTTCCTAATTCTGTTGTCCTTTTATGAATTTTCTGTTCGTTTCCTTTGCACATTCTTCTACTGATGTCTCACTGATCGTTTTTCTCACTGATTTGAACAAGCCCTTCATTCATTTGTATAGCCTGCAGCTTGCCTTTCTCCTTAGCTGAGCGGTAGCTCAGCAGGACAGTGTGGCTGTTAAGCTCGCAGCTGTCTGTGGATTCCAACCTGTCATTTAATAAGCGTGTGACCTTGGGCAGGTAACTAATCTGTAAGTGAGAATCATATTAGCATCTATGGCAGGATTGCTGTAGAAGGAAGAGAGCACAGGGTAACTCACTCGGTTATAGCATTAATAACAATAACAAGGTTTATTTTTACTAAGAAGGGTGAATTTCGAGGTGGGCCAGTGGGCAGAGCACAGGCTCAACTCCTTGCACGTTTTCTTTCGCTCCAGGTACTGGCCACCACCTTCCTCCTCATAGTCGTCTTTGCCATTTTTGACTCCAGAAACGTGGGGGTCCCCCAAAGCCTACAGCCTATTGTCATTGGCCTCCTGATTGTTGTCATTGCTTCCTCTTTGGGACTGAACAGTGGCTGTGCCATGAACCCAGCTCGAGACCTGAGTCCCAGACTTTTCACAGCCTTAGCAGGATGGGGGTTTGAGGTTTTCACGTAAGTAACAAGGATGGGGAGGAGAGGGACAGATTCAGGCCATGCCTTATCGAGAAGCGTTGTGCAGGCCATGCCTTATTGAGAAGCACTGTGCTTGGACTTGGAGATCCACACAAGTTCACAGGAGACATGAAGGTTAAGTACATACTCACTGGTGTTTTGTGGCATGATGTATGTGTATGTGCGTGTGAAAGAGAGTCAGGCTCTAGGTAAATTCAACAGAAATAGTTCTGGGTCTGTCCTGTATTATAATAATAATAATAATTTTACATGAACATTTTGACTGTATAAACTTCTCTACATATTCACTGTGTGACCACACTGGGACTAGAATTTACATCTTCTGATACTACTTCTCGTGAGCCCTGCTCCCTAGGCTGAATTCACTCAGCAGAGTTGTGTTGAGTATTATCTACGCTGTGTCACTGTGCTAGGCATCGACCTTTCAAAATCAGCAAAGACATTCTCCTTGAGCAATTTAGTAATTTCTCTGGCAACCCCTAAAAGTGCTGAGGGCACACAGCTACGGGAGTGACTAACTCTGCCCGGGAAGTTGGGGAAGGCATGACTGAAGGAGTGAGAGCCGAGCTGGTTCTTGAGATCTGCGTAAGAAATCTCTGACAGGACCTCTCACTGGCGATTTGTGTGACCATGTGCATGTGAAATTCCTGACCAACTAGAGCCCCTGCCCATGAAATAGTAAGACCTCATGCTTTCGATTTCAGAATATGCTGAATTCCTCCCTGCTTTCTCCCCATAAAGTCACAGAGGCCCATCCCCACCCTCTTGAGATGCCTCTCTGTGGAAAAAGAACTCATTTTGGTTCATCAGGGAATAGGCTCTACCACGGAGAAAGGGACGTAGGGAAGACGTGAGCAAATCCTAGTCCACTGTGTGCTGCAGGAACAAAGCGCCTGAGTGTTCCCAAGTGCCAACCTAAACCTATAGCCACATTCACGTGGTGACTATTTCAGTGAGAGTTGAGGTTGCCTTTCCCCAGTGGACAACGAGCTGCTAAAGTGACGAATACCATTCAGATCACCATTGCAGGCAAAGAGTAAGATTGAAAGCCTCTGTGTGTCATAAGGACCTCGACAGCTTTTCCTGCTCTATCCACGGTGCCTACCTAGAACAGGGCCTGGCTCGTGGAAAGGCTCACTAAGAAGTAACTGAAGGAAAGCATGCACCAACGCTGTGGGCCAGATCCATCCCAGGAGGTGAAAGATACAGAGGGACTAGACTAGGAACAATCCCAGTTCTCGAGAAATAGATAACTCAATCAATTGTCTAGAATAGTGGTTCTCAACCAGAATGGACAGTTCCCCCCCAGGGACATTTGGCAATGCCTGGAGACGTTTTTGGTTGTCACAACGTGCAGTGGGAGGAGGGCATGCTGCTGGCATCTAGTGGAGAAAGGCACGGGAGCTCTAAGCTGACAGAGGACAGACACCCACAACAGAGATTTTTTCAGCCCAAAATGTTAATGGTGTTGTGATGGAGAAAGTGTTCTAGTCTGATCACAACTAGAACATGAAAAGGTGCTCAACTAGAAATGATCTCTTGTACCCTCCAACAGAGCATCAAAACATGCCCTAAAGATCTCCTTATTTCTATGGCCCAGAATTAGCCACGGGTTTCCCTGAATCCCACCTTCCAGAGCATCCCTCTTGGAGACCACACTCCCCCTCCAGCTCCACTTCAACCCTCTTTGGGGATTCATCCAAAGCTTGAAGAGCCATGGTGGTTCAAAAGCAGATGGAGATCTTGCCCGATCTCTCTCTCTCTGTTAAGTATGTCTTTTAGGAGCACCCAGGTGTGGGAGAGTGCTGGGATCACACAGCACCCGATGTCTCTCATTAGTGTCAGGGGCTCTTCCCTGCATGCGTTCATTGATTTATTTGCAGTTACCTGCTCTCTCCCTCAAAGCCCCCTGCTAAAGAGAATAAGACTCGGTTGCTGTCCTTCATTGTTTTGTTTATATTCTGCACAAGAGGTTAAGGTGGAAGCTCTCAAAGGCTGAAGCTGTCGATTGGAACTAATTAACTCCAGGTGATGAGAGCAGATATATAGCTCTAAATTTAGGAGTTAGGGGGATGGAAGTGGGAGCATTCTGTAGTATTGGGGTATGTTTAAATGAGAGACAGAGGGGACATGTCAGGCAGAGAGGACCCTGTATTCAAAGACCCAGGTTAAAATAGCAAGCAATCTAGTCTAGTTGGAAAAGTGCATGAAGAAGGGGCCGTTGCCATGTCAAAGGGGACCTGACTCCCTGAATGAACATTTGAGGTTTTTCTGCTCCCTAGTCTGTAGGTTTTAGGGAACAGCAAAGGATCTCGGTCAGAGGTTCAGCATGTTTGGAATGTCGATTTAGCAAAATTAATATGACATCACCATGTAAGATGGATTGAACTAGGAGAAAATGGAGAGGGGGTAGAAACCCCTTAGGAAAGAGCTGGACTTGGCTGGTAATTCTCAATCAAAAGTTCTCAAAAAAAACTTGGAGGGCTAATCGGCCTCCAAACTCTCCCGCGTATCCCATCCCTTCAGAATTCTCTATGCGAGGCAAATTCCTCAGTAGATACCGTGTACCTGAAGACTCAGATAAAACTGAGGCTACCTTATCCCCAAGCTCTCATTTGCCCCTGTGTGGCAGGCAGTGGAGGACAGTAGAGAGGAGGGTACCAGAGGGTCTGACAATAGTGTGAGCCGGCAGACCCTGGCTGCCTCTTGCTTTTCCCTCAAATATTAGGATGTTTTCTCATCAAAGTTCTCTTTACTAATTCATACTAGGGTGTTAATAGCTTAATGGGTGAAGGATCTCTGGAGAATTAGGAATTTTTAAAACATTTTATGCAAAGTAATGAATCCCTAGAGATGGTCCTTTAGATAAGTTACACAGACATGTTCCTGTCATCCCTCAAATTTTAGTGCGCAAGTGAGCACAGCCCAGTGTACATGTAGGACCAGGCCCGGCAGGTGACCACATCTGAGCCCTTCCATATGACTTGTGACCCTGACACAATGTGTCCAGCCTAGTAGAAAGAAGGAGGTCCAGCCAGTGAAAGGAAGACATGGATCCTGGCAGAGATCTATACAGGGAGATATTCTCCATAACAGGAAATGATGAACCAAATAAGGTGGATTACACTTGCTTCCTGTGCAAGTGAACCCTCAGAGAAGACTCCCAGTTCCTTAAAGCCATATGGGGAAAGCAACCACCCTCCATGTGCCTCTCAGAGCAAAGTCCATCTGTGGCTCACACCTGTAATCCTAGCACTCTGGGAGGCTGAGGCAGGCATATTTCTTGAGCTCAGGAGTTTAAGACCAGCCTGAGCAAGAAGGAGACCAGGTCTCTACCAGAAAAAAAAATAAATAGAAAAACTGAGACAAGAGGATCTCTTGAGCCCAGGAGTTTGAGATTGCTGTGAGTTGTGATGATGCCGTGGCACTCTAGCTGGGGTGATAGAGTGAGACTTTGTGGGAAGGAAGGAAGGAAGGAAGGAGGGAGGGAGGGAGGGTGGGTGGGAAGGAAGGAAAGAAAGAAAGAAATCCATCTGGATTCGAGGCCTGGGAAAAGGCACTGGCAGAGCAGCGGAGAGCAGTATCCTCATTCCCATGCAGTAAGAGTGACATCTGGTGGCTGCTGGACTCAGTCTCCGCGCTCTTCTGTCAAGCCTGCATTGCTAATCCAACACTTTGATGCTCCAGGTGGAAGGGATCACACAGATGGAGGAACTGGAGCTCACAGAGCACAGCGGTGACTTGCCCAAAGACCCAGGATTCTCGGACAGGGTTCTTGTTTTCCACTTAATTTCCTTTCTAACCAAAATCTGATATAAACATAATGATGATAAGAACAGCTATGAATCCTTCCAGAATCCAACTAGAACTCTGATGCCCTCACACTCATATGTGTGCTCCTATTTCCCACGCCTCCCCCACATGATCCTGAAGTTTTGTGTTTACCATTCCCCTGCTTTTAAAAAAGTAGTTTTATCATCAATTTATATGATATATATATGTATATATGCTTAAACAATATAGTCTAGAACAGTGTTTTTCAGCCTTTTTTATCTCATGGCACACTTGAACCTATAAACTTAAATTATGTTGATCAAAAAAAGAGAGAGAGAGAGAAAAGAAATATACATACTGCATTTTAAACTTGTTCAAAAGTAATTTAACTAATAATCTTTAAAATGTTTCATTGAGGCACGGCTGGTTGAAAAATCACTGCTGTAAAGTATTGTTTGCTCTTAAGCACTTGTAGTAATTTCTATGGAGTTGTTGAAATGAACTTCCTCTCTCCAAAAAAGATGGCAACAAGTCACAAAGATGCTTGGTTTCAACCAGAACTCCGCCTTTGCTGTCGTGTACTGACCCTGAGGATTTCTAGAAGAGAGAGAGAGTACCATGGCATGAAAGCCTTATCAGAAAGTTGACCTTTGACCTCACAATTTAAGTGCTGATTGAGATAATACTTAGTAGGTAATCCACGTATACACCTTAGATTTTTAAGTCATTCGTTCTTTGGCAAACAGTTTCTGATGGTTCCTTTTGATTGCCCTCAGAGGCAGTAATGTCCAGGAATCTCTTTTCCCTTCTTACTACTCAGGCCCCATTATTTCAGGGTGAGGGAAAGCCAATTCTTGAATAATTGACTGGAGCTTTCCCTAGGGAGCCTCAAGGTTGACAATGGACTAAGGCACTACATTTTCCAAAGGGAAAATAAATGATACATAATCTCCCACAAGTATTAGGAGAACAATGGAATAGATCATCTGAAATCAGGTATAGTGGAAAATCTAGGATGATGTTTGTCATGCTAAAGAGACTGCCCTTACACTTAGCTCTTGCTGAGTTCAAAGGGACCTGTGAACATGAGAAAGACTAGCTGATTAGTGAGTAACTGGACATTAATACCAGGGGGAAGGCCATGAAAGTAGCACTAATTTCTTGTTTGATTTCAGAGCGGGAAATAACTTCTGGTGGATTCCTGTAGTGGGTCCTTTGGTGGGTGCTGCTATTGGAGGCTTCATCTATGTTCTTCTCATTGAAATCCACCATCCAGACCCTGAACCAGAATTCAAGGCAGAACAATCTGAGGACAAACCAGAGAAATATGAACTCAGTGTTATCATGTAGTGGCACGCTCAGTTCTGGAAGCGTAATTGGTTTGATAGTTTCTTCAGAAGGCATGCCATCCAAGTTTCTGTGTTTTTGTAAGAATGAGGTGGAATCCACCCAATATTCTCTGCTAGCCACATGAGAAGTGAAGGTTTGGAAATACTGACCTCGTCTCTACAAGTTTCCCCCAGAATTGTACTGATTGTCCCCTGAAACAACTTTCTGTCTTGCCCTATTTATTTCATGCTTGATAAGAATTCTTCTTACTATGTGATCACTAATAACTTGGAACCTTGACCATGGCTGTATTTGGATGGTCTCAGGTGCATTATCTACTGTATGAAAGTGTCACTGAAAGCCTCTTCTTCAGTGTCTACAAAGATTACCTTCTGAGTATCAACCAAAATCTAAATTGAAATGATGGTTTCAGTCAACAAATCCATGAATTAGGGAGCTAACAGGTTAAGTCTCTAGTTATGTTGTGCTACTGTATTTGTATAAATACTTATATTTTCCAAACCTAGAATTGTAGGAAGCAACAGATCGCAGCTGAAAAGCACAAAGGAAGGACACTGTGGCATCCAGAAACCTCAGGAGACAAAGATAAATTTGGGAAACCAAATGGAATTTTTTAATGGAAACCATTTACCAGATTAATCTCTTGCTCTTCTGTATTTTAGAGGGCACCAATTAATTTCCTGATCTTTAGTATATAATAACCTAAAATACAATTGTAACCCCCAGTCATGAAAAATATATCACTCTGTCTTTTCAGCTCAAATTTATTTTCTTAATTGCCCACTTGAGAGCAGACATTTGACAAGTTATGTCAATGGCTTCACTCATCCATTACTCTACACATGGCCTAGATACCAAAACTGAAAGCCATTGCATCCTGGTCTAGCAGAATCTTTACAGTGGAAGGTCTCTGGAAGGATAATATTACCTTTGGGGGCTATACAATTCACAAAGCACTTTCATACATATTATCTAATTTAATCTTTACAGTGACTGCCTAGAGTGAATACCTTACTATCTGTCTTATAGACAAAGAAACAAAATCTCAGGGAAGTTGAGATTCCCAAGATCAAATGGGAAGTTGAACATTGTATGATGCCTCCCTCTGCCTTTCAAAGATCAATAACTGGCTAAGAATCTTGCCAACCTTTTCTGGCTCTCCAGAAGAAGTGGCATTGGCAACTTCCAGAACATATATTCTTTCTGGATATAATGCTCCTGGATCTTAAGAGAAGACTCTCATTGTCTGGGTTTATTCCCTGCTGCTACTGAGGCACTAATGAAGGAAAGAGGTAACATCTGATCATAGCTTTCATTTGCTAAAAAGCATTGTCAGAAAACCTTCCTTCCTAAGCCACCCTTGGTCTTGCTAAGTCTTAATGTTCCTTCCCAGTCAATCCCAAACATTCCATTCCTAAGAAGGGAATTTCTTCTTCCTTAGTCTCTTCCTTGTGAAGTTCTTTAATTGAGTTACTTTTGACAAAAGGGCCTTCTGAATCACAAGCGAAGCACCATGGGAACTTCTTTATATCTAGGCATGAACCATCAGTCAAATGTTAAAAAGCCCAGCATTCCCAAAGGCATCAATCCAGTTCCCAACTGCTGTGTAATCACAATGAAACAACAAAACACAAATGTGAAATGTTTCTAATGGCCCGTATTTTACAATCTACAGATATATGGCATTATTTTCTTGCTCTGAAGCTACCTAGATATTTCTTATTTGAAATAAAATTGTTGAGTCATTCTTGGTTTGTTTGTTTCATTTATAAGTGTTAAGATTACCCTATGAGTGCCTGGATTTAAATCTATAATCCTATCATCCTAGGGAAGCAGGAGGATTTCTTAAGGCCAGGAACTTGAGACAAAACCAGGCAACATAGCAAAACCTTCCCCTCCACAACCTACAAAAAATAAAACAAAAAACTTATCCAGGCATGGTGACATGTGCTTGTAGTCCCAGCTGCTTGAGAGGCTATGGTAGGGGGATCACTTGAGCCCAGGAGTTCAAGGCTACAGCTATAATTAGGCTACTGCATTCCAGCCTGGGCAACAACATAGCAAATAGACAGACCCTGTTTTTTCAAATGAAAAAAAAAATGTTTTTTGAAACAAAAAAGATCGCTAAGTATACTTAGTTCAGAGATTGTCTGTAAGGTCTATAAATTTGAATTTCCTGGAGAAGCGTTCAGAAAATACTATGCCCAGTTGGTCCTTTATAACAATCTCAGATGATTCCAATATTCAGTAAGGGATGAGAACACAGACATGGTCAAATAGCTCGGGTCTAAGGATTTTGGGGGAGCATGTCTAGTGGTGGCCTGGTAACTCATGGTAGGATGCCCAGAGTCTTGGGAGCCTTGGGGGTTAGAGCAATGGTTCCTAATGGAGGGCAATTTTGCTCCCTCTTTCCCCTATTCCACAAGGGAACATTTTGCCAAGCTTGGAGATATTCGTGTTTGTTACAAGGGAAGGGTTGCTGGTGGCCAGAGGCCAGCAATGCTGCCAGTCATGCTACAATGCAATGACAGCACTGCACAACGAAGAGGTATTTGGCCCAAAATGTCAATAGTGCCATGGTTGGGGGGACCCTGGAGTAGAGGAAAGGTGAGGAGAGATAAGGAAGAGAAGACACTGAAACTCTGCACCCTGATTGAGTTTCAGCCTGGAACAGATATGAACAAACCAGAAACAACCTCTGGGGTGGACTATAATTCTTAGAGCAAAGGGCAACCCAAATCTTGAGTTTTCTGGATGGATTGTACTGTTTAAACACTACTTGATTAATGGCTAGGATTATGAAGAGGAAATGTACAATTATGAAAATCAACCCCAGGAAGAATTTTTTACATGGAAAAAAGTCTTCTTTCTCCAGGTGCTCACACTCAAATTCCCTCCCCTCCACTGGTTTATAAGTGGGTTTGCCTTTGTCAGATTCTCACCCAAGAGAATGTTTATGAGGTTGCATTACCTATAGCAGAAATCACTTCAACAGAGCCAACTAACTTATTTTTAAAATGGCTCCTTTAGGAGTGAGAATTATAATATCCTCTCTTTTCTCCCCCATCTCAGTCGAAAAACTGGCTGGGAGCATTTATCTTCATGCCAAAAATAGAATTTCTCTCTGATTCCCCAAACAGTTGAGATCTCAGAGCATGTCAAAGGTGGTAGGGGTTTTCCAACCAGTAACAATCAGAGTCACTATTCAGCTTTGAACAGAATAAGTGGAGTAAAAATGTCATATTTCAAACTTTTGACCCTTAAGATATAACTTATGTTTCCTTTAAATTGCTTGCACACACACACACACACACACACACACACACACACATCTTATGGTAAGGTATATCAGTGTTCAATAATATCACCTCAGGAATGTTACAACTTCCAGTTATAGAGAATAGTTTTTAGGTTCTATTTAGCCACAGAACCTATTGTTCCAATAAAACCTTATGTGGTGCCCACAAGTGAACTGGAGCTGCTCTATGTTAAGAGAGGGAGAAGGGTTCAGGAGTTTCATCTTGCCTTCACCACCAGTACGGCATTAGGGGGTCTCTGCAGAGAAATTGTGTGTTTGTGTGTGTGTCAGGAGTCAGGGAGGGTCTTCAGAACACAGTGTCACAGTTTGAAAATCACTGCTAAACAAGTAAAAGATATTTAGTAAATTCTTAGAGTCCTGCAAACATTACCCCATTTTAGTTTTATTTAATTTTAAATGTCAACTTGATTGGGCCATGGGGTGCCCAGTTTTATTCACCACCCCCAAAGATAGAAGTAATTAGCCAGGAGGTAAAGAAACAGGAGGGAGAAGCCTGGGCATAGCAAAGTGTGGTCCTGGTGGGCCAGGAAATAATATGCACTTGAAAAACCAATATATATAAATAATTGGAAGTTTTATTTCAGGTGGTGATTTTGACTTAATTTATTTTCATTATACAAAAATTTAGTGATCAAATCTCACTTGAAATAAAAATTAAAAAATTAAAAATAAAAAAAAAGATCACTGCTACAGACTTGAGATAAGTTGTGGATGAACATTTGTATTCAAGTTTCACTCTCCTGGGTAAGAACCTACCAAAGGTCATATTTGTTCAATGTCAGGTAATTTTCTAAAGACTTCTTAAATGAATTAGATGTGGTAAGCAGAATTACTCAATCTACCAAACATCACCCACAAAGAGACACTGTACATCAATTAAATGTTTAATTTGGATATTCTGCATGGGATAACATGTTTTCTAATCATAACCTATGGAGAGAAAAAGGCCATAGTCCTGGCCACACTTACTGTGTTGATTCTCTGAGTCTGTACAAAAATGAATAGATGACAGACAGATAACCAACCAGCCACACCCCAACCTCTCTCTTGTTGGTGGAAATGAAGTCTCTCTCAGGAAAACACAGCTATCTTTGGATTAATGAAAGGAGAGCCCTCAAATAAGCTGAACATGGATAATTCAGTGAGTTAGCCGAGGGAATCTGGGCAACTGTGTATGAATGGAGACACCCACTCAGGGGCTCTCTGTCCCACTGGGCCTACATTATGTTTCTGAATCTTTAGGCACTTCTACCTTCCTAGACCTCTTTTCCCACTCACACAAAATTGATCAATTTAAGTAAATTACATTTTGCAATTCTGCTGGTGACAAGTTCAGTTATATATGTTTTTAGGGATATGATTTCAGGAGAGATTAAAACATTTTGGTGGGCTTCCTGACAGTGTCACGGGCCTAACAACTTGGTGGGAGCTGGCTCTGCTTTCTCCCCTGTGGAGTGGGTCCCTGATGTCCCCTCACTGCAGGTCCCTTCCTCCTCAGGGTCCTGCCGTTGGACCTCAGGAAACAGGGCCAGGCCCTTGGGTGTCCTGGAGGTTATAAGGGACTCCCAAAAGTCCAGACCCCGGGCCTTGGGGATGGTTCACACTGTGGCCATCCACCCATCTTCTCTGGCACCCAGCAGGAAAGGGGCTTCCCAACCTCCTGCAGAGGGAAGTAGGGTGATCCCAGGCCTGGGCATTCTAAGTTCCAGAGATTCCCATGATGGGTTATTAGCACACGATTCTTATACAGTGTCTTATTTACAAAGCATGTCTGGTACCTCATACAACTTTTAGGACAGCCCAGCAAGTAAGTTATTATCCCTACTTAGAGATGAGGAAACTGAGGCTTAAGGTATGATTTGCACTAAGTTCCAGAATAAGGAGTGGTAGAGGTGCAAAGCAAACCACGTGTCTGGGTAGGGTGACCAAGCGTCCCAATTTGCTGGGAGCCAGGGGGTTTTATCTGCAGGATGCAGGATTTGGTGCTAACATCAGGAGAGGTGGTACCCCCCATGTCCTGAGTCAAGAGCCATGCACTTCCCTCCAGACGGATGCTACCCTAAGGTTCACTGTCCTGCAGCAGATAAAATGCCCCTTCATTAATTTAACTAGCAAGTGAGAATGTCTCCATTTTTAATTTCAATTATAAATGGGAATAAAGGTTTCAAGAGCGGTACAGTTAATGAAAGTTCTGTCAGCTCTGCCTTCAAAATAGATTCCACATTTGACCTCTTCTCACACATCACCAAGGTTTAAGCCACTGTCCCCTCTCTCCTGGGTCTTAGAATTGCCTCCTGACTGGTTTCTCTGCCTTTCTGCTTTAACTCCTTCAGCCAGAAATCAGCATGGCAGCCTGTGTGATCTTTAGGTAAAAGCCCACTGACCTTCAAAACACCACATACTCCAAACTTCCTGGCCTGACCTTTACTGCTCTTCCCCTTGTCTGTCCTCTTGGCATCAGCCACACAGGCCTCCAACCTGATCCTCAAACCCACCTACCAAAACCCTGCCATGAGGCCTTCACACTTGATGTGTCTCTTGCTTGAAATCTCCTACCCCTCCTCCTTCAGGTCCCTTTTCAAATGTCACTGTGTCAGTGAGGTTTTTCCTCACTACCCATTACTCACAATCCTCTTTCCTGCTTTATTTTTCTCCCCAACATTTATCACCCTTTCTAAAATACACATATTTGAAATTAAATCTGCTGGGGTTTTGTCTGTTTACTTCCAAAGGAATAGAAGGTGCGTGGTGGCAAGAATTTTCGTTGTTCTTTAATTCATCACCATTTCTCCAGTGCCTGGAATGTGGTAGTCGCTCAATAAATATTTGTTGAGTGCATGAATGAAGTCTTGAGTCACCCTCCCTGGGTTCAAATCCTCTACTTACTGTTACAGTAGCCAAGTTACTTACCCTCAGTCTACCCATATATTAACATAGTATTAACAACAATAAAATCACCAGTGTAAAGTTCTTAGAACAGTTGCAACCTCATGCTCTATATTCCATAAATATGAACTATTGCTGCTACAGTTCACTACTAATGCCCTCATACTACTAATGTCATTAGAACATGTGGTAGTTTGAAAACGTGGAATAAGGTCATCAGAATTAAGTTACAAGCTCATCAGAATTAAGTTACAAGCTCTTCCCTTGCTCTCTGTAATTTACTAATCCTCAGTTTCACCAACCTTTCAGGCACTGTCTTCCTAGTACCTAAGTATTCAGTTTTATTTTTCAATCTATACTAGAAGTTCACAGGATTATCTGAAAGTTTTTTTTACTATGAAAGATTTTAAAAATATACAATAGTGAGAAAATGGTATAGTGACACACTCCATGCTTCACACAGCTTTGACAGTTGCCAACACATGGTCAATGTCATTTCATGCCTCCCTGCTCTCTGCTTCTGACTACTCCCCCTGGGATATTTT